TCTTTCCCTCTTCAGTACTATTTCAGCACACAGTTTCTGGCTAGTAAGAAGCACTCACTATTAAAAAGTGAGAAAATAGTGGTATATATAGAAATGAGCATGGTAATCTGGGGGGAGGCCCAATTCTTTAAATATGGTGCTAATATAACACTTAAAATATAATACTTTGTATTCCCAAATCTTTCCTTTATTAAAGATAATTACACTGAAGCTGTGACTCTATCACAATTGCCATAAGCAATTTGGCATGAGATCAAACTATTAAAGGGATTTAGCTATTGGAGCACGAAACAGTCCCTGAGCAGAGAACTGACCTACAGGATAAGCACAAACTCTGTAGATGGCATTGCACTCGATTTATAAAGAGCTCGTAAATTTTACCCACACTTTAACACTGCTCCAAATGAATCAGTTTGCTCTAATTCAGTTTGGGTTATTTATGAATCAAACTGTGAATTAGTCTTTTGAAACTTTTTTCACTTCTGACCTGAGCCAAAAGACCATGCCTTAGTCTCTAGTCTTCCAACACTAAAACATGGAACACAAACCACTTAGTTCTTTATATATTCACTTGGTCCTTCTTGATCTTACCTATAGCATAAAAAATAAAGAGATCTGTTTCTTTGAATGTATTCCTTTTCCTAACTCCAGGGCCCCATTTGTATAACTTAATCCAGATGTTTGCATTACGGTGGTGCTCGGCATAAGCAGAAGCCAGTGAAACTGCATTTTATCCTGAAAACCTACACCTCACCTCTCTCACTTGATGAAAGTAGATATGCTTTGGGTGTATGTAGAACTATAGGTAGACAAGTAGACAGACAGATATCTTTGTGCACACATCTGTAAATGCACAAACTCATTTCTCTTGCACGCTTAAAACTTAGAAACACATCACTATGCACTGGCCCACATAGTTTCTTAAAATCATGTTCCTTTACAAGGAACGAAATATTTTCCTTTTATTATAATCTAGTCTTTCCCATTCATATGAAATGTTTAAATCCAAATATAATCTAAAAACTGTATTGTAATCTCTTTCAGACCTACTAATACATATAATGATTTAAGCTATATATAGCTCCTGGTTTCTCCCCTAGGTCTTCTGCTGACATACTACAGTTGCAGCCCATAAAAGGAGTCTCTGTGGATAAAGGTATCTTCCCAAAGCCAGGTTGATGGTCCATACATAGCAAGGAGCATCCAAAAAAATTTAACAGAGCAAAGAGGAATTCTGAGCATTTAATTTCTCTTTCTTGCTGTAGGTGTATGAGTGACCTCATGGGAGAGTAAGCAAGAAGGAAGCAGGACTAACTGGAAACATGGACAACTCGAAATGCCGTTAAACTTTCATTTTCCAATCTTCTGGGAAAACTATTAGCACGTGATACAAAACTGAACTTTAATCACATAATAGGGAGAGGAGGTGACAGATGAGAAAGGTTGGGAAATGTTCATAGCAATGCCTTGAGGCTGGTGTATAATAGTGTTTCCTAACACTAAGCCTTCAGGATACTAATAGGCATTTGAGAGAGAGAGAGAGAGAGTCACACAAACTAGAAAATTGCCAGCTTTAACAAGATTGACTAGCTTTCTTTACTGTAGGACTTCAAAGCCTTTAGTGGGTTCACAAGCACTGTGAATCTTCCCGAGGGGATATAGGGGAAGCAGCCTAAAAATCTGTTTTACCAGAGTCCTATAAATTAGCATCTCCCAGAGGCTGTTTTATACCAAGTATTGGGTTGTCAAAAAAGTTATGATGCATTTCTGCATAGAAAAACGTGGAAAAAATAACATCATGACTTTTCCAACAACCTAACAGTTTAAGAAAGACTGAAATATATAGGTGCCCTATACTTGTGGTTAGTGAGATCCTCCTAGGGCCAATATTGGGAGTTTGACATGGCATGAAGACTAAATACAACCATGTGCTTATTACTGAGGACTTCATATACTGTGTAGGTGCTCCAGGTACAGTGACCATAGGGCGAGTGAGGAGGGGCAGCAGCTGTGAAGTATCCGCTTTCAGTTCTTACACACCTGTGGCTGCAGTCTGAAATCTCCATAGTTAGACAGCTGAGCTGGAGGCTTGGGCTGAGTGCTGGGCTCACTGTTTACATTGTGATGGGAAATCTGGTGGACAAAGAAGCAGACTTATTCATTAACAGTCCCCCTGTCAGATGTCACAAAGCTCTGAAGCAGACAGGAAGCCCACCTCAAGCAGATCAGATGAAGACTGCAGACAGCCTCAGCCTATCTCATGACCAGGATGAAAGCTTTGTCATTTTCTCAGGGAGAGAAAGATAGAAAATGATTATGAACACCCTTTCAGACAGGTCTTCTACGCATTCATAGGTGGCTTCCAAGCTCAGAGTTGGAAATCAGTAGCTGGTAGGCAAATGTCTCTAGACTGGCCACCAATTTTGTTGTGATGAGGTATAGGTTTGCTGTTGGTATGAAGCCGGAGCCTCATCTCATCTAGGTCACCTTTGGAAATATGATAAAATCCTTGATTGCAAGCACAATGAACCTGCCACCTTGCTGTAGATGTAGACACTTAGACTCCAGTGATAAGAGGGGCCAGTGGGAGACTTCAGTCTGGGAGCTGGCTCTTTTACTAGCTATGCTACCTTGAGCAACTTGCTTAATCCCTCTATGACTCAATTTCCTCATCTGTAAAAAAAGGATACTATTATAGGGTTTGGGGAAGATTAAATAATGCACTGAAAGTGCTTAGCACAATGCCCAGTCTATTGTAGATACTCAATAAATGTAGCTAGTAATCTGAATGAGCAGAAATCATAAGCAAGGAAAGGCTTAGGGTAGAGCTAAAATTTAACATTAAATAGATACATAGCAGGAACTCAATAGATACTTGTTGACTGGTCAACCAATATCTTGTAAAGCCAGTACTAGATACTGAAAGAGGAATTTTCACTTGTCAATGTGCAGGTGTTGAAAAACTGTTTTTGTTTTTTTTTTTGTTACCCTTAAGACTGAAGCAGGAAGTCAATATCTCATGGTATCTGTATCTCAAGGTTGAGCGGTCTGCTAAAGACCATCTAATTTTCAAAAAGAATGACAAGGAAATGTTGAAAGTACTTTCAGTGATTTGACGCATCCTGAGACGCATCACGTGGAAAGGTATGCTCTGAACCACCCAGAGTGGAGAAGGAGAACACAGGACTATCTACAGAGAAATCTCCCAGCATTTTCTGTCAAAAGTCAGATGGGTGCTTTAAAGATAGAAAGTATCTTCAGCAGCAATTAATGAAAGGGAGGGTCTGCAGCACCATATTCCACACTCTAAGGATTTGCTCTTGCGTCTCATTTTCAACTCCATGAAAAGTATTGATGAATACAGCCAGAGTAACACATCCAAGGAAGCCATCATTCATTTACAGGTGAAACATTCAAATTTCAGTTTATTGTTCTGAGGGGAAAGGCAAACCTAAAGAGAGTACCATGGGCCCAAACCACAGTACTAACCCATTGCTAACAATTGTTTATTTTTATTTTATGTAGAACATAGCTTCTAATACACCCAGACTGGACATTCTAGACAGAAAACACATGTCTCCCACCCACAATTGGAAGAACACCCCTTCTTTCTCTCTCCATATGAAAGCCACACACAACTCTCAATAGCCAAGAGGCAACTTATTGAAGAAACGTTCCCTCTTCCATGAGTGTGAGGGCTGGCCAAATGAGAAGAAATTAAACCGAACATAGCTTCTAATACACCCAGACTGGACATTCTAGACAGAAAACACATGTCTCCCACCCACAATTGGAAGAACACCCCTTCTTTCTCTCTCCATATGAAAGCCACACACAACTCTCAATAGCCAAGAGGCAACTTATTGAAGAAACGTTCCCTCTTCCATGAGTGTGAGGGCTGGCCAAATGAGAAGAAATTAAACCCCTCTCTATCTTCTTTCTCCAGATATCATCTTGAGTCTTGGATGTTGTGAGGCAATCAACCCTTGCAAAGGAGCACGGTAGTAGGACAACATCTCTACTACCAAATAGCAAATCAAATCTGTCTCCTACCTGTGATGGGCAAGGTCTTGGAGGGAGCGCAGGTGGTGGGGGTAACAATGCTGACTTCGTAGCTGAAAAACAAAACACATTCTGTTAAGGACCATGCCTCCATAAAAAGCAGAAAGAAAACAAGATGCTCATACACTTGTTAACTAGGAACAGCAATGGTATTTGCATTTTAACATGTTTAAGTTTTTAAAATCTTTCTGAAAGCTTAAAAATAATAAGAGATCGTGGTTCGAGTCCCGGGACCCAGTGGCTTAAACTCACGCCTGGTGTGTGTGCATGCGTGCCCAAAATACCAAGAGGAGAATGGAGGAGAAGGAATTGCAGTGTGACCATCCTCCCTGGGGGATGATTTCTCGCTTTCTGTCTCTCTGTCTCTCTCTGTCTTTCTGGAAAGCACACATGCCCTATAGCAAAAACCTCTCAAAAAATAAATAAATGAATAAAAATAATAAGAAATAAAAGAGTACATGTTATTTTGGATCCTTTTTAAAATTTTTCACCCTACCCAAGATCTAAGTATTTATTTAGGCTACTGTATTTCAGACAGTATAAAACGGTATGGAAAAGACGCACCTTCTGATCAAAAAACTGGAAGTCAGCATGGGAAAGGTGATCAATTCTTCATTATTCTGATGTTAATTATTTAGTTTTAAATAATCCAGGTCAAAAGTCAAAGGGTCATCTTTGGCCTCTCTCACATTTCCCCTGAGCTTCCAGCCCTCACACAGCTCTTCAGTGAGCAGAGACTGAAGAGGCTCCAAGGTAGCCTGGAACTAGAGAAAGCAGCTCCACAGCTCTGCAAATGCTCCTGTGAATGGATCATGGGGCCGACTGCAGTGGAGGAGTCCAAAGGTGAGAGACTGAAACAATAGTGCAGGATTCTTCGAATACCTCTCTCTCTTTTTTTCTCTCTCTCTCCCCCTGCCCATTATTACCAGGAATAACTGAATTTTTTTCTAAAATGATCTGTCCACATTTGAAAGATCATTTTCAAGAAAGTTTCAGTCTAATTTTTTTCAGTTTTCTGAGACACAGAGAACATATGAGTTAATCTCAGAACATATGAATTGTAACTTAAAAGAAAATAAACAGCTGCTATGGAATTATAAATAAAGTTCATAATCACACAAAAGCAATAAGTTTAGCATCACACACTGCCAAGTTAAACCACATCCTTTACAAACTCCTTAGACAAACATTATGGTCTATATAATGAAACGTAGTTTATTTGGGAATCTGTAAAATGCATGTTAATAATTGGACAATTTTCTGTACCTTCAAAAATAAATCATAGCTATGTATTAAGAACGTGAAAGTTTTTGCAAATCACTTTTGATTTGCCCTGGCTGGATCAGACAAGCTAGAAGGTGGAGTTTGGTGCTTTCCACAATGTAACTCAGAGTTTAAAGTCACAGAGATTTCCTTTCTGAGCCAGTGCACGGAAACGGTACAACCATGTGAGCCCATCTATGATTTCTCTCAATATGTCTTTCATTAAAATTTATGAAACACATCAGTGGGTCAAAACTCCAGAGGTGGTGAGACCTTGAACAGCCATCAATAACAAAGCATGGAGCAGGAGAAGATGACGAAAGCCTTTAGGAATTATCAATCTCAAGGCCTCTGTTCTATAGATCCTCACAGATCAGGCCGTTAGATGATCATTTATTTTAAAAATAAAATGAAACTAATAAACAAACAAAATCTATGCATGCTTTTTTTTTTCTTTTTTTTTTTTTTTTTGGCGGGGGGGGAGGT